GTCCTGTCCTGACAGTTGGGGTATATCTGTACCGTTCTGACATTTGGGGGATATCTGTACTGTCCTGACATTTGGGGGATATCTGTCCTGTCCTGACATTTGAGGGATATCTGTCCTGTCCTGACATTTGGGGGATATCTGTACCGTTCTGACATTTGGGGGATATCTGTACCGTCCTGACATTTGGGGAATATCTGTACCGTCCTGACATTTGGGGGATATCTGTACCGTTCTGACATTTGGGGGATATCTGTACCGTCCTGACATTTGGGGGATATCTGTACCGTTCTGACATTTGGGGGATATCTGTACCGTCCTGACATTTGGGGGATATCTGTACCGTTCTGACATTTGGGGGGATATCTGTACCGTCCTGACATTTGGGGGATATCTGTACCGTTCTGACATTTGGGGGGATATCTGTACCGTCCTGACATTTGGGGGATATCTGTACCGTTCTGACATTTGGGGGGATATCTGTACCGTCCTGACATTTGGGGGGATATCTGTACCGTCCTGACATTTGGGGGGATATCTGTACCGTCCTGACATTTGGGGGATATCTGTACCGTTCTGACATTTGGGGGGATATCTGTACCGTCCTGACATTTGAGGGATATCTGTCCTGTCCTGACATTTGGGGGATATCTGTACCGTCCTGACATTTGGGGGATATCTGTACCGTCCTGACATTTGGGGGATATCTGTACCGTCCTGACATTTGGGGGATATCTGTACCGTCCTGACATTTGGGGGATATCTGTACCGTCCTGACATTTGGGGGATATCTGTACCGTTCTGACATTTGGGGGATATCTGTACCGTCCTGACATTTGGGGGATATCTGTACCGTTCTGACATTTGGGGGGATATCTGTACCGTCCTGACATTTGGGGGATATCTGTACCGTTCTGACATTTGGGGGGATATCTGTACCGTCCTGACATTTGGGGATATCTGTCCTGTCCTGACATTTGGGGGATATCTGTACCGTTCTGACATTTGGGGGATATCTGTACCGTTCTGACATTTGGGGGATATCTGTACCGTCCTGACATTTGGGGAATATCTGTACCGTCCTGACATTTGGGGGATATCTGTACCGTTCTGACATTTGGGGGATATCTGTACCGTCCTGACATTTGGGGGATATCTGTACCGTTCTGACATTTGGGGGATATCTGTACCGTCCTGACATTTGGGGGATATCTGTACCGTTCTGACATTTGGGGGGATATCTGTACCGTCCTGACATTTGGGGGATATCTGTACCGTTCTGACATTTGGGGGATATCTGTACCGTCCTGACATTTGGGGGATATCTGTACCGTCCTGACATTTGGGGGATATCTGTACCGTTCTGACATTTGGGGGGATATCTGTACCGTCCTGACATTTGGGGGGATATCTGTACCGTCCTGACATTTGGGGGGATATCTGTACCGTCCGTCCTGACATTTGGGGGATATCTGTACCGTTCTGACATTTGGGGGGATATCTGTACCGTCCTGACATTTGAGGGATATCTGTCCTGTCCTGACATTTGGGGGATATCTGTACCGTCCTGACATTTGGGGGATATCTGTACCGTCCTGACATTTGGGGGGATATCTGTACCGTCCTGACATTTGGGGGATATCTGTACCGTCCTGACATTTGGGGGATATCTGTACCGTCCTGACATTTGGGGGATATCTGTACCGTCCTGACATTTGGGGGATATCTGTACCGTTCTGACATTTGGGGGATATCTGTACCGTCCTGACATTTGGGGGATATCTGTACCGTTCTGACATTTGGGGGGATATCTGTACCGTCCTGACATTTGGGGGATATCTGTACCGTTCTGACATTTGGGGGGATATCTGTACCGTCCTGACATTTGGGGGATATCTGTCCTGTCCTGACATTTGGGGGATATCTGTACCGTTCTGACATTTGGGGGATATCTGTACCGTTCTGACATTTGGGGGATATCTGTAGCGTTCTGACATTTGTGGGATATCGGTACCGTCCTGACATTTGGGGGATATCTGTCTTGTTCTGACATTTGGGGGATATCTGTACCGTCCTGACATTTGGAGGATATCTGTACCCGTCCTGACATTTGGGGGATATCTGTACTGTTCTGACATTCTTGGACCTCAAGAAAGTAGATTGGCTGTCAGTACTTCAGGATTGATCAATAATCAGATCTATACCATAGTTTGTGAACTCTATAACTTTCCTACAGACTAAATAATACATCCTAATTTGGGTTATTTTCACCAAAGACATGTAGCAGAATACATCTCAGCCTAAATTTATGAAGAACAATTATTTATTTGCAAACTTTTATAACAGAAACAAAGAAAAACGTGTTTTTATTTTCAAAATTTTCTGTCTTTTTGTGTTTAGCAAAAAAAAAAACCCCAGCGGTGATTAAATACCACCAAAGGAAAGCTCTAGTTGTGTGAAGAAAATGATAAAATGTTAGTTTGGGTACAATGTTGTATGACCGCGCAATTTGTCATTCAGTGTGAGAGCACTGAAACCTGAAACCTTCAGTCTCAGCATCCAGCTTTGTCCCGATGACACCAACTTGCCGTAATAAAGAAAAAAAAAACCCAGCCCTTGCCGACCCGCCCACACCCACCAAGTACTCGCTGCAATATGACAGGCCTGTGCTCGGATCAAGGGGTCTTTTTTTTTCCCCCCTCATTCATGTCTCCCAGGACAGTACCCGAGTCCCCATACCCCTTTTTATGGCCAATGACTTGCCTATAAGCCTTCAAAATGGGCACTTTTGAATTCACAAGTTTGAGTCTTATAGACTTGTACTGAGTTAGAAGTTCATGGTCAAATGTTCATTAGGTTTGAACGTTCGACCGCGAACCAAACATGGGGATTGTTCGGCCTATCACTACCCTACAGTAGTTGAAGATGATGTCACTTCCTTGTGGTGAGATCCTGGAAATGAGGATCCCAAAACCTTCAGAGGCGATATTTCTTCACTGTCGTCTTCTCACCATATTTGAGATCCTCATTCTTCTTCCCAAGATCTTTCTGAAAGGATGGTGACGCCATTTGCTCCAAAGCTAATGTCAAGTGAAAGGTAAGTACATTTGTAAAGTTTTCCCCAATGACTTTTGAACGTTTTGGAATGGGGGTGGAAGGCTCCTTGATTTTCAGAGCCAGGACTTAAAATTGTTCCTGTAGCTCTTTATGCATCAGAGCTCCATGCAGCACACCGTACTGCCTTCCCTTATGGAGGTGCATTGGAGTGCCATTAAACGGTACCACAACCCACCAACGTACGGACCGTGCATTACTGCAAATCGGTGGAGGGACAAGGCCCAAAAAGCACAATAGAGCCATCTCAGGAGAGGAGGTGGTCACACGTATCATTTCTCATTTTATCCTCATGTCAGGTTTTATTTTTCTATGTTCCACTGGGAAGATTTATTATCTCTGTGCTGGTGGCCACTAATGCAGGCCATAGACGGGTCGAAAAAAACCGGCTGTTTTTTTTATTAAAAAAAACAACGAAACATTAGTTGTTCGATCAACCGACGTTACCATCAACGGTAACAAAAAAAAAACAACAAAAAAAAATCAGCCGATTTTTGTCCCGTCTACGTTCAGCATTTAACCCTATAATTACTTCTGTCCCTTGCAGAGAGCTTCGCTATTATATTTTACATGAAAAAGTCTTGCGGTTCCAACAATGTATCCATTTGTATCCATTTTGGATACAGATGTTTTTATTCGGATACAAATAGATACATTGTTCAACCACAAGACTTTTTCATGTAAAATATAATAGCGGACTGGAATTCTTCTTCTTCTTCTTCGTCTTCTCCTTCTCCTTTTTCTTTGTCTTCTCCATTTTCTTCTCCTTCTCCTTTGTCTTCTCCATTTTCTTCTCCTTCTCCTTTGTCTTCTCCATTTTCTTCTCCTTCTCCTTTGTCTTCTCCATTTTCTTCTCCTTCTCCTTTGTCTTCTCCATTTTCTTCTCCTTCTCCTTTGTCTTCTCCATTTTTCTTCTCCTTCTCCTTTGTCTTCTCCATTTTTCTTCTCCTTCTCCTTCTTTGTCTTCTCCATTTTCTTCTCCATTTTCTTCTCCTTCTCCTTCTCCTTTGTCTTCTCCATTTTCTTCTCCTTCTCCTTTGTCTTCTCCTTTTTTCTTCGTCTTCTCCTTTTTTCTTCGTCTCTCTCCTTTTTCTTCGTCTTCTCCTTTTTCTTCGTCTTCTCCTTTTTCTTCGTCTTCTCCTTTTTTTCTTCGTCTTCTCCTTTTTCTTCGTCTTCTCCTTTTTCTTCGTCTTCTCCTTTTTCTTCTTCTTACAGGTCACGGCTCATGTGCAGATTTTTTTATCGGTAAAAACGATCAGCCGATTTGCCCATCATTGCCGGGAAAATCGGCCGATCGGCAAAATCGGCCATGAGTTTTCCAACATTACCGATAAAAAAAAATATGCCAAAACCCCGAAAAACGGGCAACCAATTAACCCACTAATGGTGCAAAAATCAGCTGATTTTCAACCCATCTATGGCCTGCATAAGACTGAAAGTCCAAACATTAGAGCGGTTACTAGGATAGGAATAGAGAGGAAATGTTCAGGTGATACCTGAGAACTTCCTTTACTTTGAAGAGATTTCCTTTCATGTTTTGCTGAGTCTACAGGGAAGGAAGTAAGAAAACAAAAATCTCCCCAATGGAGCACATATGTCAAAATCAAAAATGGATGTAAATTCTAATACTCTTCTATATCAATAACAAAACAAATGTCCTATTCTGGCTCTAGATATAATTTAAATTACAGACTTCACTCTGATACAGAGGACAATAATTTCTGGATCTAGCTGCATTGTGTGCAATGGCAGGACCACAGTGTGAACCTGGAAGGAGAGGGGTATTCCCCTACACAGAGCAGGGATTTCCTCCTACTTTCCTGCTGTGTCATCAGCACCCAAAGTGAAGTTTCCAGGATGGGATAGAAAATATAAACCAACTCATAATTCAAAGCAGGTGTACAGACCCGGGAACTCAGCACAGGGATGGTGGGAACCCCTCATAATGGGCACAGAAGATGTACAGACCCGGGAACTCAGCACAGGGATGGTGGGAACCCCTCATAATGGGCAAAGCAGGTGTACAGACCCGGGAACTTTGCCCATTATGAGGGGTTCCCACCATCCCTGTGCTAAGTTCCCGGGTCTGTACATCTTCTGTGCCCATTATGAGGGGTTCCCACCATCCCTGTGCTGAGTTCCCAGGTCTGTACACCTGCTTTGCCCATTATGAGGGGTTCCCACCATCCCTGTGCTAAGCAGGTGTACAGACCTGGGAACTCAGCACAGGGATGGTGGGAACCCCTCATAATGGGCACAGAAGATGTACAGACCCGGGAACTCAGCACAGGGATGGTGGGAACCCCTCATAATGAGCACAGAAGATGTACAGACCCAGGAACTCAGCACAGGGATGGTGGGAACCCCTCATAAAGGGCACAGCGTGTGTACAGACCCGGGAACTCAGCACAGGGATGGTGGGAACTCCTCATAAGGGGCACAGCAGGTGTACAGACCCAGGAACTCAGCACAGGGATGGTGGGAACCCCTCATAATGGGCACTACGGGGGTACAGACCCGGGAACTCAGAACAGGGATAGGGGGAGCCCTTCATAATGGGCACTGCTGAGGTACAGACCCGGGAACTCAGCACAGGGATGGTGGGAACCCCTCATAATGGGCACAGAAGATGTACAGACCCGGGAACTCAGCACAGGGATGGTGGGAACCCCTCATAATGGGCAAAGCAGGTGTACAGACCCGGGAACTTAGCACAGGGATGGTGGGAACCCCTCATAATGGCCAAAGCAGGTGTACAGACCTGGGAACTCAGCACAGGGATGGTGGGAACCCCTCATAATGGGCACAGAAGATGTACAGACCCGAGAACTCAGCACAGGGATGGTGGGAACCCCTCATAATGGGCACAGAAGATGTACAGACCCGGGAACTCAGCACAGGGATGGTGGGAACCCCTCATAAAGGGCACAGCGTGTACAGACCCGGAACTCAGCACAGGGATGGTGGGATGGTGGGAGCCCCTCATAATGGGCACTGCTGGGGTACAGACCCAAGAACTCAGCACAGGGATGGTGGGAGCCCCTCATAATGGGCACAGCGGGAGTACAGACCCGGGAACTTAGCACACAGGTGGGAACAGCAGGTATAGACCCAATTTAGTGCAGGGATGGTGGGAGCCTCTCATAATGGCAGAGCGGGTATACTGCCCCAGGAACCCAGCACAGGCCTAATATAAAACCCCTTACAAGGGGCACACTAGATATGATGTCAGGCAAGAAATGTCAGCACCACATCTGACAGAACCACACATTGTGACATTGAATATATAATGCAATATGGAAGAGTTCTTCTAGGACTGTGCAGGATACAGGAAGTAACACGTCTCCCTGCAGTCACTATCCTCCCCGGTGATCACAGATGACATTCTACACATCTACACTGCTATTGTGCTCTATATGCTGCACCTGTCATTGGTCCTGTGGAGAATATCCAGATGATGACAGATTTACAGACGTTTGAAGAGAATGTGTGTGATGTCCAATCACAGGAAGGAAAAGCTTAGATATTTTCATGCCATTGTAGCTGACTGGATAGGTGATAGTCACTTGTCAGTATCCCCTCCCTTCACACTACAGTAGATGAGGTCCAGGATCCCCTCACTTCACACTACAGTAGATGAGGTCCAGGATCCCCTCACTTCACACTACAGTAGATGAGGTCCAGGGTCACCTCACTTCACACTACAGTAGATGAGGTCCAGGATCCCCTCATTTCGCACTACAGTAGATGAGGTCCAGGGTCACCTCACTTTACACTAAAGTAGATGAAGGGTCCAGGATCACCTCACTTCACACTACAGTAGATGAGGTCCAGGATCCCCTCACTTCACACTACAGTAGATGAGGTCCAGGATCCCTTACTTTACACTTCACACTACAGCAGATGAGGTCCAGGATCCCCTCACTTCGCACTACAGTAGCATGAGGGCCAGGATCCCCTCACTTCGCACTACAGTAGATGAGGTCCAGGATCCCCTCACTTCGCACTACAGTAGATGAGGTCCAGGATCCCCTCACTTCACACTACAGTAGATGAGGTCCAGGATCCCCTCACTTCACACTACAGTAGATGAGGTCCAGGATCCCCTCATTTCACACTACAGTAGATGAGGTCCAGCATCACCTTACTTTACACTACAGTAGGTGAGGTCCAGGATCACCTCAATTCACACTACAGCAGATGAGGTCCAGGATCCCCTCACTTCACACTACAGCAGATGAGGTCCAGGATCCCTCACTTCACACTACAGTAGATGAGGTCCAGGATCCCCTCACTTCACACTACAGTAGATGGGGTCCAGGATCCCCCTCCCTTCACACTACAGTAGATGAGGTCCAGGATCCCCTCACTTTGCACTAAAGTAGATAAGGGCCAGGATCCCCTCACTTTGCACTAAAGTAGATAAGGGCCAGGATCCCCTCACTTCGCACTACAGTAGATGAGGTCCAGGATCCCCTCCCTTCGCACTACTCCCCTCACAGTAGATGAGGTCCAGGATCCCCTCACTTCACACTACAGTAGATAAGGTCCAGGATCCCCTCACTTCACACTACAGTAGATGAGGTCCAGGATCCCCTCACTTCGCACTACAGTAGATGAGGTCCAGGATCCCCTCACTTCGCACTACAGTAGATGAGGTCCAGGATCACCCTCACTTTGCACTAAACTACAGTAGATAAGGGCCAGGATCCCCTCACTTCGCACTACAGTAGATGAGGTCCAGGATCCCCTCACTTCACACTACAGTAGATGAGGTCCAGGATCCCCTCATTTCGCACTACAGTAGATGAGGTCCAGCATCACCTTACTTTACACTACAGTAGGTGAGGTCCAGGATCTCCTCACTTCACACTACAGCAGTATGAGGTCCAGGATCCCCTCACTTCACACTACAGTAGATGAGGTCCAGGATCCCCTCACTTCGCACTACAGTAGATAAGGGCCAGGATCCCCTCACTTCGCACTACAGTAGATGAGGTCCAGGATCCCCTCACTTCGCACTACAGTAGATGAGGTCCAGGATCACCTCACTTCACACTACAGTAGATGAGGTCCAGGATCACCACACTAAGGTCCAGGATCACTCACACACTACAGTATAAGGGCCAGGATCCCCCTCACTTCACACTACAGTAGATAAGGTCCAGGATCACCTCACTTCACACTACAGTAGATAAGGGTCCAGGATTACCTCACTTCACACTACAGTAGATGAGGTCCAGGATCACCTCACTTCACACTACAGTAGATAAGGGCCAGGATCCCCTCACTTCACACTACAGTAGATAAGGTCCAGGATCACCTCACTTCACACTACAGTAGATAAGGTCCAGGATCCCCTCACTTCACACTACAGTAGATGAGGTCCAGGATCCCCTCACTTCGCACTACAGTAGATGAGGTCCAGGATCACCTCACTTTGCACTACAGTAGATGAGGTCCAGGATCCCCTCACTTCACACTACAGTAGATGAGATCCAGGATCCCCTCATTATCGCACTACAGTTCACACTACAGCAGATGGTCCAGGATCCCAGCTTCACCTTACTTTACACTACAGTAGGTGAGGTCCAGGATCACCTCACTTCACACTACAGTAGATAAGGTCCAGGATCCCCTCACTTCACACTACAGCAGATAAGGGCCAGGATCCCCTCACTCACTTTACACTATAGTCAGATAAGGTCCAGGATTACCTCACTTCACACTACAGTAGATGAGGTCCAGGATCCACCTCACTTCGCACTACAGTAGATGAGGTCCAGGATCACCTCACTTCACACTACAGTAGATAAGGTCCAGGATCCCCTCACTTCACACTACAGTAGATAAGGGTTAGGATTACCTCACTTCACACTACAGTAGATAAGGGCCAGGATCCCCTCACTAAGCATTACTGTAGATAAGGGCCAGGATCCCCTCACTTCACACTACAGCAGATAAGGGCCAGGATCCCCTCACTTTACACTATAGTAGATAAGGTCCAGGATTACCTCACTTCGCATTACTGTAGATAAGGTCCAGGATTACCTCACTTCACCCTACTAAATAGGTCCAAGTTCACCTCACTTTACACTATAGTAGATAAGGTCCAGAATTCCTCAATTCGCACTACTAGATAGGTCCAAGATTCCTTCACTTCATCCTACACACAGATAAGGTCCAGTCCCTTCACTTCACACTACAGTAGATAAGGTCCAGGACTATAGAAGAACCTTGCTCAATATTTACAACCTTGATGATCCCTTGAACGTTTAAAAGTATAAATTCACCTTTTATAACATGTTACACCAGTATTTAGGGTGTAGCACGTTACTGATACAAAAGCCTCCCGCTTCTTTCCGCACCCACTGTCACAATTTAAAAAAAAACGCAACTGTGTGGGGCTCAACTGCGGCTTGTAGTTCTCTATGAAATAGCAGGTCGCTGGTGAGCTCTACAGTAGTTCATTGATTCTTCTTGTAATTCAGTAACTGCCTGTCCATATACAGACAGACAGCTACATTGACAGGCTGCAGGAGCCTGAGACTGCACCCATTATCTGCTGATCACGGGTGCAATACTTTGCAGGCTACTGGTAACAAAAAATAATAATAAATGCAATTTTTTTTTTAACCTGCAAAAACATGTACATATAATTTTTTTTTTTTTAACCACTTCAAGTCCGGACACTTTTACCCCCTTCCCCCCAGGCCAATTTTCAGATTTCAGTGCTATCACACTTTGAATGACAATTGCGCGGTCATGCAACACTGTAGCCATATGAATTTTTGAGCATTTGTTTGGGGACTGATAAAGCTTTATTTTGGTGGTATTTATTCACCACTGGGATTTTTTTTTTTTTTTTTTTGCTATATAAATGAAAATGTCCAAAATTTTTAAAAAAAGTGTTTTTCTTATAAATTATTTGCAAATAAATTAACTATTTTTTTTTTTTGCAGTTATTTGCAAATAAATAATATTTCATCATAAATCTTGGCCAAAATGTATTCAGTTATCTTTTAGTAAAACAAATAAAAAAATAGCCCAAATTAGTTTATAAGCAAAAATTATAATTTTTCAAACATTTGTTTTAATTTTTTTATATTATTTATGGGTTTTTTTTTTTTTACATACTGTCACCCTAGCAGTACAGTGTCACCATAGTGACACTGTAATACTTGCAGTGGGGTGATGAAGATGTTTTTTTTTTTTTTTTTTTACACTGGTTGCTTTTACAGTCTTTGAGTGTTAAAAGCAATAATTTCTCCTTCTTGCAGCCATTGAGAAATACTCTTGAGAGTTGTGATTGGTCACAGCTTGTCACATGGTACAAGGCTGTTGTGAATAGCCCTGTACCATGTGACCTCTGTGATCATTCACAGATTTCACTAGTAGTAAGCAATGATGTCAGAAGTGACATCTTGCTTACTACTATTCATGATTGGCCAAACAGTGATCACATGATCGTGACCTCACACAGAGGTCCCGTACAGTGATCAGTGTTCCGCTGTGTCCTCCGGACATAGCAGGCACCAGATCGCGGTGTTGCGCGCTCCCAGGGAGCGTGCACAGTCCAAAATGACAGGCGCCGTTTATGAACGGCCACCCGACCCTGCACTGCCCTGTCCGGCCGTTTATATACATGGGCCGGATGGGAAGTGGTTAATAGAACAAACCATGCCTATTGTTTAACAGACAATTAGATCTCCCCTGGAAAGGAAGAGACAATGTCTCTACAAAGACTCCCCCCTTTTCTGCAACCGCTTTATAGTCGCTATGCCTGCGTCACTTTGTGCCCCTTCCTTTGTTGCAGCCAGCAACACTACCCCCAGCTCTGGGTATACATGGGAGCATGCGGCTCTAGGCCTGAGCACTGTCACATAATTGAGGGAATGACATCCTCGCTCCCCCAGGTTGCTGCACTGGTGACTTCAGTGCTAGCTGTAATGGAGGAAGGGGCACAGGCGAGGTGGGCATAGGGGGGGGGGGTGTCTCTTTAAACCATCATTGAACACAAATACTGACATTACAGGCGCTGTACAATGAGACCATACAAGGTTTAATCAGAATTTAACACATGTGAGATTCCCACACATGGGAATGTTTGTTTATTAAGTGGTTTCTCCAATATACCATTTCCAGAGTCCATTTTTTTCCTTTACAAAGGGGGGGGGGGATTCTGATGTGCAAACAATGTATATCGCATGTACACTGTATACACAGCGATATATATTAAAAAAAAAAAAAAAGAAAACAGACAGACCTTCTGGATTGTCCAGTATAGAGAAAAAAAAAAAAAAAAAAAAAAAAAAAAAGAAGGAGGTTTGGAGGGGGCAAAAGTTAAAAAGTTGAGTCCATTACTATGCAGTAGAAAGGAATCACCCAACTGAACGTTTCCTGAAAACTGAAAATACACCGATATGCGGACTGTACAAACACTCCAGACTTTAGATGATGGGTTCACAGAGCAGCTGGTGGCGGTAGGTTGGTGTAGAACATGGATTCCTTAAAAGCTTTTTGTAGCTCTTGATGAGGGTGGGAACTCGACAGAAACAAACATGAACCCAGCTCCCTGGACAGAACAAAAAAAGTAGGTGCCTTTGTGAGGATGGGTGCTCGGTATTCCGAGAGGACAATGGCAAAACATCCTCCTGATCAACAAGCCGTGTCCTCCATGAAGTTCCACTCTCCAGCCTTTCCTAGTTGAGGAGCTAAAGTATGGATTTCTTGCACCGATAAGGATGGGCCCTTTCAGCACTTTAGGATAAAATCTAAATTCTGAAATTTATATATCACCGAATAAAAAAAAAATCTTATAGACGGTATGTTGTAATAAATAAATAATACAACTAGTGATTCTCCAGTGCAGGCTGCTAACACTGTTGAGAGTCCAAGCAGCTCCAGATGCCAACGGCTAAATTCTGGAGAAGGCCTCTTGTTCCATGGCCTTCCTTTCCTCCAGGACCCGTGATGGTGGGAGAGCCCAGGATCTTCTTGGGATTGGGAGGTGGAGGGATCATCTAGGCCCAGACAGTAGTTAATCCCCTGTACCAGTCCAATGATCACAGGCTGCCATGCCACTAGATAACGTAACCAGTCTAGTAACTGTCCATACATGACGTGAGGCCTCTCCCACCTGAATGGAGGAAGTTAAGGATTATGGAAATCAGCAATAAATTTTCAAATTGTATACATAGGCATTGCTCAAATTTACCCTCAAACCACCCTCTGCCCCTCTAGATAATATCCTGGAGCTTTTATCTTCTTGTAGAGAGAAAGGGGAATTTTGGCTTACCTGTAAATTCCATATCTTACAGTACAGGACACAGGCGGACTAGTTATAGACCCTATAGACCCGTACCTTCAGATGATTAGACACTGGCGAGCTTTTGAGATCATGCCCCCCTGGGCACCTTCCTATACCCTTACTCAACTCTGTAAGCCCTCAAGTATTGTTTCAAGCAATGCAAAGTAACCTAGGAATGGAAGGAAGGGTATCCTGTGCTCCAAGGTAGGGAATTTACAGACAAGTCAAAATCCCTTTCATCTTAATTGTACAGTACAGGATACAGAAAAAGGATTCATAGACTCTGGGATCTCCCCAAGCAATTAAATGAGAAAAGTGGGCAAACTAGGAAAACAGAACTATGACAACAGGCCCAACAATAATAAAGGGTCAACAAAACCAACTTCAGAGATTCACTGCAAGGGTCTTGCAGCCAAAAGCTGCATCTGCATAAGATTGGATGCCCACCTGCTAAAACTTTGAAAAGGTAAGAATAGAAGACCGGGTGGCAGCCTTACAAAGGCTTGGTATGTAAATGGCCAGGAAAAATGCACCGACCTGATGGAGTAGGCGTGTAAAATTGCAGGAGGCGTTTTCTCCTTTAACGTGTAAGCTCTAGCAATCTGTTGTCTTATACACTGCATGACGGTGGACTTGGAGGGAGAATGTCCCTTGTGAGGTCCTGATAGGAAAAACAGGGAGTCCGTCTTCATGACTGTAACTTTGGAGTAGACTTTGATGGCTCTCACTACGTCCAGGCAATGAAGAGACATTTCTTTTGGGTGCTTTGGAAAAGAGAACAAAGATGAAAGGATGGAAAACATGGTCTTGGGAATAAGTCTACCTTGTCTATGAAAAATGGCTCCTTACAAGAGAGCGTCTGACAGATGTGAGTACAACTAAGGAGGCCACTTTACAGAGAGGCCAGGTAAGGTAATCAGCTTTCCAGTTGACCACTCCTGGGATATGGACTGCAGAGATCACTAGACAGTGAGTTTCTGTCCATGAGATAATCTGGCTTGCTTCCTTCAAGGTTGCATGGCTCCTGCAGCCCCCTTCATGGTTTGAGTAGGCCATAGCTGTGACACTGTCTGATTGTACCGTGGTTGGATAGCCTTGAAGAAAGGGGGGGGGGGGTTCAGTGTTGCAGAGACATCCTTGTTGCTTTAACCTTTAGTATATAGATTCCACCAATGAACATGTTCCATGGACCATGAGGGACTGGAACACTCCCCCCCCCAGCTTAAAATACTGGTATCTGTTATCACTTTCCGGTGATAAGGAAGAAAAGACTTTTCTATTGTTAATGCTGGGCTGGAAATACACCAAGCTAGGGAATGTCTTGCTTGGCTTGGCAGGAGCATTGGTAGGTCGAAAGAAGAGGCATGTGTGTTCCAGGTCAGCAAGATGTACTGGAGAGTCTTGGATGAAATTGGGCAAATGTTACAACCTCAAAAGGAAGGCTACCATAAGACCTATGGAGAATCTCTGTGGGAGATCTATTCAACCTCAATTTTGTGCATGAACTCAGAAGAGCATTTTCTTCTCTGGAAGGAAAATGTTTGCTTGGGATGTACCCAGAACTAGACAAGTATTCCAGGTGAAGAGAAGGCTTGAGAGCAGGTTTTTGGAAGTTGACCACTAAACTGAAGACCTGGAGTATCTGAATTGTTCTGTGGATATCTGCATATAGTTGGAAAGCAGATAAGCCCTTCAGGAAAAGGTCATCTAGACAGGACTGGTGTCCAGACTATTGCATGACCAGCTACTTGCACCCCCCTCCTCCTCATACCGGAACATGCAACCTGTTCAGGAAAAACTGGGATGGAGTGATGTTGCGCACAGCATGTTTCATCTCCCATTGAAAGAATGAGGATGCAGGCGCATATTAATCTTTTAGCAGCAGGGCACATGAATGACTGAATGGCAGGGGGTCATCCTGCGTTCTCATTCATGGGGAGATGTAAACACTGACAATGTAGAATAATAAGTGGCAACTGAATGTACACACCTCATCTCACACAGACATAAGTGCCTTTATGTTCATGTGATTCAGACGCAGTGCAGACCCCTTAATGCTGACAGCGTGTTCCTGTGTAAATCTTAGCCCCTTGTGTCACATATCGTCTTTTATTATGTTATATGAATATTAGTAGCAGATCACTAATATAGCATAGAAATAATAACCATCAAACCCTCTACAGCAAACACAATCGTTATGCACAACACAGACATTTTTGACGATGTGACATTCAATGACCGCTCTCAATAATCAGATAATTGTGTAAATGTAGACAAACGCCAAAACAACTGATCCTGGCAGATTTAAAACGTAGACTGGAGTGATGGTAAGGGGTGGTGTCTACAGCCTGCATCCTCCAGCACCACAATCAGAATCTTAGAGATTTTCAGAAATTATTTTGATGGTCGTGATGAGATTTTAGGATCGGTGACATTGATCAGCCAGTTTATGATTGGCAGTTGAAGCCATGTTAAAGATGACAGTGGGGGTTGGGGGTGCAGTGCCAGGATTGGTCAGCAGGAGATTTGGGATAATATCTATGGCGATGGGTAGAATCGCTGTAAGCAGACTGATTGGCAGCGCCCGGTGCAGGTGGCATTGGATGGGGGGATCCAGGCGGTGACATCACCCCCACCCCCGCCATGGAAGGGTTAGTGGAAGTCGTTGATCTCTGTGGATTAGCCAACAGGGGCCCCCTGCTGGTGTCGCCACACCCCAGCACCGGGAGGGGGATGGGATCCTGAAAGCAGCAGTGCGGGGAGGATCTTCAGCCTCGCTGAATGAAGGGCCGAGAAGTAGCAGAGGTGGCGGCGATCACACCCAATCCCATGAGAGGGTGGAGGGAGATTTGAGGGCAGCGCAGACACCCGATCCTTAATACCGGGCACCATAGGCAGGAGAGGAGTGGTGGGAGCTGTGTATGGTCACCGATCTGATCTCCGATCCAGGCGTCATGGCCAGTTATAAACTACCCATTCATGTGTCCAGGCTCTCCCCTCTTATCCTCCCCTGGGTCGGAACAAGCGAGGATGGAGAGAGGGGGTGAGATTGGTAGAGCTCCTGGGAATCCCCCCCACTTACCTGGCTGGCTGGACTGACTCACCCCGATTCGTATTCCTGAAGAGAGAAGGCGGAATCTGAGCCGGGGCTCAGATCTCCAAGACAAAAGGCGCTGCAGCAGCCCCTGGGTAATGGCGCGGTGCGGGGGAGAGGGGGCGCTACCTGCTCCTTCTCCCCACCCAGTGACTCTGCACCAGCAGCTGGCCAGACGGAGCTGCCAGAGCTGCTTCCTCTTCCCGCTACACTCCGCGCCACAACTGATCCTTCGGAGGGGACCCATTATATCCTCCTGCTGCTGCCACGGAGAGTAGGGAAACCAGCGGCTGTCTAGTTCACCTCACCTAGTGGGAGTGCCGGAACTGCATCTAGATAACATGTGACCTGGATACCCTGAATTCCTAGGGGAAGAAGGGGTGCTAGGACCTTTTTGAACACACTGGGAGTAGAGGATAGGCCAAAAGGCAGTGCAACTGGAAATGATTGTCCACTGCAAAGTGTAAAAAACACTGCGCAGGCGAAAAAAAAATAGGAATATGCAGATAGGAATCTTGGAAGTCTATGGATGCCAGGTGTGACAGACCCAACCTGAAAAATGGCTTTTGGAGGGACTAGCCTTCTACCCACTGATTATGGCCCATGGAGGAGACCAGGGATTTTTGTCTACTTCTCCCAATCAAAGCATAAAAAAGACCTCAGTTCAGCCTCTGACCACATGGAGAGAGCAGATCAGTCTGTGATAATGGATAATAACGTGATGAATGCTTCGAGCCAATCTTGCATTAATTAATAAAGACAATTAGGCTTTCCTTCTGGAGTACATTGAAAGGTGTAATAATAATCTTGTACAGGTTAATGGCCCTCTTGCAGGCTGGGTTGGAGAAACTCCTCCCTTGGAACAGAGATATTTATCAACAATCTCCCTCAAGAAATCTATGAAGATTATTTCCACCTTCTCTTATGACTTTTCTAGTGGACATATTACACAACTACCTGAAAGACAGCATGTGTAATGTACTTTGCGTATTCAGGGCTGTGGTTGCCAGATTGTCTGGGGTGGGCTCTCCGAGTGGTCTCCGTGTCTAGCTGTTGATTAGCTTACTATTAATTAGATCACTGGTTATTTAGGTTACTGTTAGTTGCCTGCTGTTTATTAAATGTACTGAGAGATGTACTGATGATATTAGTGATTAAAGTTTGCATTGTTTAGGATAATGTGATCGAGATCTTATCTGATTTTGTGTAGCATAAATTCTGTGTTGGGTTTTCAATAAAGAGTTCCTGTTTGCATCGACTACTTCTTGGGTGCAATACCCAGCTATAATACCTTATTCCTGTGTTCCATTGACGAGGAAGCAGTTCTCTGACAGAAGCACCCAAGCGGGGTTTCAGGCCGCCTGTCACACCAGGTATTTTCCTTTGTCTCAGGCAATAACCGACCTTGCAAATTCCATGCAAAGTTTTGGAATTTAAGGGTATTTGTTGATGGATTTTAGCTCCAGAATATGGCAAATAACCCCATTGGGCTTTGGCACCATGAACAGGTTTGAACCTGTCTTTTGAGGTACTATCCCTCCCTGGGACAAGAGATAATTTAGGGCATTAGGGCAAACCACCAACTGAATATCTGTGACCTAGAGAGAAGCAAACTGTAACAGACGACGCTCACTCTCCTCCCCCCCCCCAAACACACACTTTCAGAAGTGAGAGTACCCCTTCATTGGGAAGAGAATTTTGGGGAACACTGGCTGGGCTTTGTAGCCCAAGTCTTACACCAAAATGAAGGGCTGAACTTTAGGCTTTGAAAATGAAGCCTGGGTACAGTGATTAGGTGCTCTGCATTTTTGTTTTTTGGAGGTAGGGGGGAGTTTTTCAATCTTTCGTCATGGAAGCAAAACCTTCACTCCTGTGACATGTTTTATTAATATTTGTCAAATTCCTCACCTTAAAGACATCCTCCTTCAAAGTGCAAACAAGAAAACTTTAGCTGTCTATGCTTTGAGCCACAAGATTCTGCACACGTGAATGGAGATTAGACTCATTCCGGAAATTTATTTTATTACTTGCTCTAGGGCATCCACACAAGAGCAAAGCAGGAGGTAATTGCTCAGTTAAAGCACAGCTCTTGTTGGTTATTCATGGTCCTAATCCAGTTATTTGCAGTTTGACAAACAGAAATTGCAGCAATAGCTGGTTGCAGTGCTGCAAGCATAAAGAGAACTTTTAGGAGCTTTTCAGACGTCCTATCTGCAGCATCTTCAAATGAAGTCACGCTCAGTCAGTGGAACTCTTTTCTAGCGCAGATTTAATTCTGTTGCAGTTTAGTCTAACCCTTTGGAGGTTCTAAGGATCTGGTTGGCTGCAGGACAGACCAATGCCCAATCTAGGACAATGGGGTCACCTCTAATAACCTGCCATCCTAACTTACAAGGTTTCTAATGGTCATTTGGAAGCCGCACTGTATATCAAATGACCATTTCACTCTAAATGCAGCCACAGATGGATCGAATCTAAGCTAGTCCCTGCGGAACCAGCTGAGATCCGATCCATCCATATGGGGCAGGCTGGCTGTACTGAAGTCGATCCATCAACTGACTTCAGTACTCCCAGCTTGTCTGATTTTCTTTCTTTTCTTACATATGATTACTGCCGGAGGCTTTAGCTGCTAGGGGTAATCATTGTGTTCTGCCAGCAAGGAAGCCTCCCCACCAGCAGAACACAAAAACACCTGCAGGAGGTTGCAGGAAAGAAAATTAAATAATATCTGGCTTGCTTAAGTCTTCTCAATAACTGATAAGTGTCTGTGCTACCCATACTGACCAGACTCAACCACACCCAAGTGTCTGTGCTACCCATACTGACCAGACTCAACCACACCCAAGTGTCTGTGCTACCCATACTGACCAGACTCAACTACACCCAAGTGTCTGTGCTACCCATACTGACCAGACTCAACCACACCCAAGCGTCTGTGCTACCCATACTGACCAGACTCAACCACACCCAAGCGTCTGTGCTACCCATACTGACCAGACTCAACCACACCCAAGTGTCTGTGCTACCCATACTGACCAGACTCAACCACACCCAAGTGTCTGTGCTACCCATACTGACCAGACTCAACCACACCCAAGCGTCTGTGCTACCCATACTGACCAGACTCAACCACACCCAAGTGTCTGTGCTACCCATACTGACCAGACTCAACCACACCCAAGTGTCTGTGCTACCCATACTGACCGGACTCAACCACACCCAAGTGTCTGTGCTACCCATACTGACCGGACTCAACTACACCCAAGTGTCTGTGCTACCCATACTGACCGGACTCAACCACACCCAAGTGTCTGTGCTACCCATACTGACCGGACTCAACCACACCCAAGTGTCTGTGCTACCCATACTGACCGGACTCAACCACACCCAAGTGTCTGTGCTACCCATACTGACCGGACTCAACCACACCCAAGTGTCTGTGCTACCCATACTGACCGGACTCAACCACACCCAAGTGTCTGTGCTACCCATACTGACCGGACTCAACCACACCCAAGTGTCTGTGCTACCCATACTGACCGGACTCAACCACACCCAAGTGTCTGTGCTACCCATACTGACCGGACTCAACCACACCCAAGTGTCTGTGCTACCCATACTGACCGGACTCAACCACACCCAAGTGTCTGTGCTACCCATACTGACCAGACTCAACCACACCCAAGTGTCTGTGCTACCCATACTGACCAGACTCAACCACACCCTAGACAACACCCAGGAGTGAAGGGTATGACTGGTGCCTATGTGGAAACAATTCTTATTCCAGTCTCCTAACCGCACACCCATTATTGAAGAGTCAATACGTGCAAACCAGACAGAAGGACACAACAATTAAAAATAAAAACAGGATACGGATTGCTGAACATCCTCTTCAGGTCCACCTTCTCCTTACAGTACGGACACGTCTGCTTCTTCCCCACAATGCACCAGCCTCGGATACAAAACTCATGAAAACTGGAGAGGAAACAGGTTAAGGGAAATATTGGGAAAAGAATAAAAGGTGAATTCCATAAGTATTATATTTTCATCTGGAGTTTTTTTTTTTTTGTCATCTTGCCTTTTTCTTCCCTTCATCCATTTTTTTTCCCCATCTTCTATTTCAGAAATGTTTTTATATATTTTTTTTCCTTTTTTCTTTACCCCCATTTTTTTTCCTGTCTTACCTTTTTCTTTCCACTTTAACTGTCCCGCATTGATTGACTTTGTCATTTATTCATATGTACTCCTATGTGGGGATCAGCTCTTTTCTCTGACTTTTTACATGCAGGCATATTTGTCTACAGAGTAACTGATATGATTTTCTTTTACTTGGCATGGTCATAGCTTGGATTTTTTTATCTATCTGCTTATTATTTTGTTTTCAAGCTTTTATCTTGTTTATATGAAAATATTTAATACATTTAGATTGAAATAAAATTAGGGAAAAAAAGAAAACCTGAATTCCAGATTGGTATAGAAGACACATATTAATGCTCACTATGAAAGCAGTGTTCTATCTGCAGGAGTCAGACTCATAAAACTCAGCAAAGCTCAAGATCCCTCAGACACCTCTGCACAGAGACCACTGCTTCCCCACATAGAGCAAGGGTCCTTCTCTGCAGCATGCTGGCAGGAGACAGGATTTTCTACTGAGATTTAGCTGCTTTCTAAATAAAATACCTCTAAGACAGTGAAATGCACCTGAAATATATTTAGCTGATTTTTACACCATTACAACAGCATTAATTATTATGCCGCAGCACGGCGGCCGACAACGTAGAGTCCCCAATATTTGCACAGAAGTGTTGTTCTGGGGTGTGTTCAACTGAAACCCCCCAAGAACTGGGATTGTCGCCAACAGTTCATTAAAAACCATTGATTAGGAGCTGGTGGGCTGGTCTGCCAATTAGTCCATCACTGTGCAGCCAATCACAAGGAATAAATGAATGGGAGCCCCTTCTACCGGCAACCAGTGTTACATCTTCTGCTGACAGCAAGGTGTTAAACTATAGGTTTAATTGGGCTTTAATAGGACAAAGACCCCCAAAAATATAAAGATGAAAAGAAATGCTTATCTGTGGCCGGGGGTTGCAGTCCTCTGTATAGATCAGGAACCTGCTCACCACAGCCAGAGGTGAGGCCAACAGCTGACCGCAGTGGGAATTGGATGCTCTGACCCTCTCGATAGGGTCCCTCCCAGAACTGGACAACCGTACTGTAGACATCATTTTGCTATAGCGCGGTTGTAAAGTGGTTATTAATACAAGATGTTTTGTGAATGGAGGAGGAGAGGTCATGTTGCAATCCACCCCTCCACTCAATTCACATGTCTATAAGTACTGATCCTGTTGGACATTGAAAAGGATACACATGGTTGCAGGAGAGCCGGTACGTGTTCTCGATGATTCCCTCTTCATTAACATCCACAAAGATCTGTTGCCCACATACGGCGCACACGTTGTCTGAAAGGTGCTTGGTGGGCATCCCTGATGCGCTGTAGAACTGAGAAAGCAAAGTTGGACGTTTGAGTCTATTCATTCTTATAATGGATTCCCTAGGATTCAAAACACGGTTAGACAGTCTAGATTGATGGTCTCCAAACTGCAGCCCGGGAGCTGGATGAGGCCCTTTGTTTGGCCTTCTCCAGCCCTTGGAGCACTATTTCTCCCACTGATTAATGATACTATTCTGCCAACTGACATCACTGACACCAATGATGGGGCACCATTTCTCCCACTGACACCAATGATGGGCACTATTCCTCCCACTGACACCAATGATGGGGCACTATTCCTCCCACTGACACCAATGATGGGGCACTATTCCTCCCACTGACACCAATGATGGGGCACTATTCCTTCCAATGATACCAACAATAATGTTCTATTCCATCCAAAGATACTAACAATGAGTTTCTATTCCTCCCACTGATACCAACGATGGGGTACTAATTCTCCCCCTAATAACAAGTGTGGTGAAGTTTACTTCCACTGATACCAGGAAAATATACTCTCCCGCTGGCCACAGTCCGGGCCCTCTAAAGTTGGAAGGACAATAAACTGGCGCTTTGTTTAGAAAGTCAGGAGACCCCCTGCTCTAGATGATATCCACTGCCAATGCTGGTGCCCAAGTATCAATTTCATACAAAATGGCACAGTACTGTACCTGAGCGTTTTATCTTCCCTGTCAGGTACAGCTACACAGACAAATAGTTATGTATGTTTTTGCATATACTGTCCAATCTGTTCCCTGAGTCCGCCAAACGGTGCAATGTATAATAATCAACAGACAATGCACTGTCCAGTCTGTTCCCCGGGTCAGTTCGATGGTACAGATTGAACAGTGCATTGTTTATTGATCGCTTGTACATTGTACCACTGGACTGACACAGAGAACAGATTGGACAGTGCATTGTTTATTGCACCATCTGGTTGACACAGGTATCAGATTTTTTTTATTATTATTTATTACAGGTATTTATATAGCGCCATCAATTTACACAGCATTTTACATACCGGTATATATTGTACATTCACATCAGTCCCTAACCCTCAAGGGCCGTACAATCTAAGGTCCCTAACTCACATTCATACATACACATACTAGGGACAATTTAGACAGGAGCCAATTCACCTACCAGCATGTCTTTGGAGTGTGGAAGGAAACCGGAGTACACGGAGGAAACCCACGCAGGCACAGGGAGAACATGCAAACTCCAGGCAGGTAGTGCCGTGGATGGGATTCGAACCAATGACCCTAGTACTGCCAGGCGGAAGTGGTAATCATTTAGCCACTGTGCTGCCCGACTGGACTGAGCATTGTTTATTAATCAGTTGTATACTGCACCATTTGTATGACGCAGGGAACATATTAGACAGTGCATTGTTTATTGATCGGTTGCACACTGAACCATCTCACTGACACAGGGAACAATGAACAACCGAACAATAAACAATGCATTGAGCAATCTTCTCTCTGTGTGTCAGTCTAATGGTACAAAGTACAACGATCAATAAACAACGCACTGTTCCCTGTGTCATCCAGAAGGTGCAATGTACAACCGATCAATAAACAATCAATGCACTGTCAGGTTTGTTCCCTGCATCAACCAAACAGTGCAGTGTATAATGATCAATAAACAATGTATGGTACAATCTGCTCCCTGGGTCGTCCCATTGGTTCAATGTACAACAATTAATAATATATTGTTCCAACCTGTTACCATTGTCATCCAGATGGTGCAATGATCAACAAAAAATACAGTCCAATCTGTTCCCTGGGTCACATCTGCCCATGTCAATATTAGGCCCTGCTCCTCCCAAGATCAAGTCCCACTCCTTTTCATTGAAGTGTCAAATGGCAGAGTCTATACTGCCCACAGCAGGTCTGCCATGTGACAGATGAATGATGAGGTCTGACTTATTATAAGGAGAGGACAAGACTTAAATTGTAACAAAACCCCTCAGTATATTCACCTCCACCTTCCAGCGATGCAACAGATACATCCCTTTCCATCCACTGTCATTTTCTCCCGGATGCTGGTTTTTCAGCCTCTTGATTGTCCAGCAGGAGGGATAACGTCATCTGGCGCACACACGCACCCCGGAGTCCGTTATTCCGAACAATAAGTGTAACCCAAGCAGCAGCAACACACCCAGAGCAATGGTGGCCGTAAGAGCCAGTTTCAGAGCAAGCAGAAGGATAGCACTTTCCCCTCCGCTACTGAGTATAGCCACACTCTAACCTTGATGTATGAAGTGCAATCTATGAAATTCATTCCATCACGGGTAGAAACCCTCCATACTTACACCTATTGTGGACGCCATGTAATCTGCACACATCTCAGCGAAATCCCTTCCGAGTACCCCATAATAGAGGCCATAAAAGAGGAGGGAGATGCCGAAGTCCATGGCGTCCTCTGGCTTTATTCTGTAGGGAAGGAGAGGATGAAGAGGATTAAAAGTCATTATTATTATTATGATGTTAATGAGACAAGTCTAAACATTTTGCATCAACTGACTAGGTACAATCCCCACTCCCCCGTCTTATAGACTGAATACTGCCCTCAATACACACACCAATACTGGAAACTGATGACCATCTTCAACCTACATCTCATCTTCTATTCCAGAAGTGATCACTCACCACAATAACCCCCTTCCCTTTCACAATGAATGACAAATACGCCAAGACCCACATTGAGAACCCCACATAGCACAGGGAAGGTCACTTGGAAACTGGGCAGTAATCCCCAATAAGTGAAATCCCTGCACCCCCCCCCCCCACCCCCAGGGAAGGTCACCTGGAAAACAAGCAGTGATTCCCCAACAACTGAGGACCCTACACCCCCAGGGAAGCTTACCTATAAAGTGGGCAGTGATTCCCGATAACTGATAATGTCACAAAGCCCAGGGAATATCACCTGGAAATTGGCCAGTGATCCCCAACAACTAAGAACCATGCACAATCCCCTCAGAAAAGGTCATCTGGAAATATCACAAATGCAACACAAAAGTGGGCGGTAATCCCCAGGAAATAAAGACTGAATAATCCGCAGGAAGGGGGGATTAGGTCAGTTTAATAATTAGTAAATGCTTAGAGTTAGGGTAGAGCTGGCCAGTGGTCTCCAACAACTGAGGGCCCTGCATCCCTCAGGGAAGGTCAACTGGAGAGTGGACAGTAATTCTCAACAACTGAAGACCCAAAATCTCCAGAAAAAACATGGAATACAGACAGTGATCTCCAAACTGTGGCTTCCACACCCCTCAGGGGAGGTCACCTGGAGAGTAGGCAGAGATCCCAAACATCTGAGGGCTCCACACCCAGCAGGGGAGGACACCTGGAGAGTAGGCCGTGATCCTCAACATCTGAGGGCTCCACACCCAGCAGGTGAGGACACCTAGAGAGTAGGCTATGATCCCCAACATCTGAGGGCTCCACACCCAGCAGGGGAGGACACCTGGACAGTAGGCCATGATCCCAACATCTGAGGGCTCCACACCCACCAGGGAAGGACACCCGGAGAGTAGGCCATGATCCCCAACATCTGAGGGCTCCACACCCAGCAGGTGAGGACACCTAGAGAGTAGGCTATGATCCCCAACATCTGAGGGCTCCACACCCAGGGGGAGGCCACCTGGACAGTAGGCCATGATCCCCAACATCTGAGGGCTCCACACCCACCAGGGAAGGACACCCCGAGAGTAGGCCATGATCCCCAACATCTGAGGGCTCCACACCCACCAGGGAAGGACACCCCGAGAGTAGGCCATGATCCCCAACATCTGAGGGCTCCACACCCACCAGGGAAGGACACCCGGAGTAGGCCATGATCCCCAACATCTGAGGGCTCCACATCCAGCAGGGAAGGACCCCTGGACAGTAGGCCATGATCCCAAACATCTGAGGGCTCCACACCCACCAGGGAAGGACACCCGGAGAGTAGGCCATGATCCCCAACACCTGAGGGCTCCACATCCAGCAGGGGAGGACACCTGGACAGTAGGCCATGATCCCCAACATCTGAGGGCTCCACAGCCACCAGGGAAGGACACTCAGAGAGTAAGCCATGATCCCCAACATCTGAGGGCTCCACACCCACCAGGGAAGAACAACTGGAGAGTAGGCAGTGATCCCTAACATCTGAGAGCTCAACACCTACCAGAGGACGACACCTGAACTACAGGCAGTGATCTCCAACATCTGCTGAGGCTCACTGCACTCTTTCCATGTGACCTCAAATGAGGAAACAACCCTTTCCCAGGAAGGAATGGGGGTTTCCAATTTCAAATGGTAGGAGGTGGAGCCCTAATTTTTGCTGGCATCTAGTGACTGGAATCAGAAAGTTATGAGTGAAGACTTTTTTTTTTCTACTGAAATACTTCTGTTTGTGCGCCCAAAACTTCTTACCATCTATGGGATTATCGCCCAAAGGGTCATGCACCCAGAATCAGCTACTCAGACCAAATTCTTCATATAAACACAGAATGCAAGACGTACCTGAACAGGAAGTTCAGACCAAACAACGTAAACATCACAGCGATATATCCCACAATCCCAGTGGCGTAACTCATTTTATACAAGAGAAGAAACCATTTATATACGAGCCTGTGGAGACACAAAATATGACGGTCAAAAAAGGAAGTCACTCCGACCAAAATTATTTCAGTGTTTGGAAAGTTGAACCACCTAAATCCTAAGTGCCCTGGCCTTTCAAGTGATCTTTTCTAAATTTCCAAGCTATATAAAATGCCACAGGAGGAGTGGGAACACCCTTACCCTAGGTTCACACCTAAGCGTTTTCTGCAGCTTTGTGCAGAAACGCACTACAGTCCATTTAACATGATTTCCTATGGGACACGTTCACATCTCTGCGTTTTCACCTGGTGTGTTTTTTTGGAAAGGGTCAGGGACTTTTTTGAATGCAAAAAATTGCGTTTTTGGTTCTATAGACTTCAATGCCCTGTTTTTGACGCGTTTTAAATCTGCCTAGCAACAAGAAATAAAACAAAACAAAAACGTATAAAAAATGTAGCAAAAATGCCGGTGCAAAAATGCAATGCAGAAACGGATTAAACGCAAACTGCATAGGTGTGAACCTAGCCTTAAAGTGGGCTGGAGCAGAGTTAGTGTCTTTGGTAGGTAAAAGCCAGGTTGGCCATCACTGCCAGTTGTCACCAACACCACTCTGGTACCGGCTCCTTTCCTGTACTGAAATGGCTTACTCGGATTTCACTGCACACTATGAGCTCCTCACAGTGTGCATTAAAGGATAAATTCACCTTTCATGACATGTTACACCCATATTCAGGATGTAACATGTAATTAATGCATCGGGCCCTGCTCCCCCACGTCACTCATTCAGTCAGTGTTCTGTGAATGAGAAACTACAAGTCCTGACAGCCTTCGAAGCTGTCGGCTTGTAGTTTTTAATGAACTACAATGGCACTTTGGATCGTGGTGGTAGTTCATTGAGTCTTCCTGTTAGTATAAAGTGACGGAAATAAGTATTTGACCCCCTGCTGATTTTGAATGTTTGCCCACTCACAAAGAAATGATCAGTCTAAAAATTGAATGGTACTCCGGTTTCCTCCCACACTCCAAAGACTGGTAGATAAATTGGCTCCTGTTTAAATTGTCCCTAGTGTGTGTATGTATGAATGTGAGTTAGGGACTTTAGACTGTAAGCTTCTTAAGGGCAGGGACTGATGTGAATGTACAATATATATGTAAAGAGCTGCGTGAATTGAGAGTGCTATATAAGTACCTGTAATAAATAATAACATACCACATACTGTGTAGTCCAGTACACACAGCTCACTCCCCAGTATGGATGACACCAGTAAGATCTATAGTCCAGTACACACAGCTCACTCCCCAGTATGGATGACACCAGTAAGATCTATAGTCCAGTACACACACCTCACTCCCCAGTATGGATGTCATCAGTGAGATCTATAGTCCAGTACACACAGCTCACCCCCAGTATACATGTCACCAGTGAGATCTGTAGTCCAGTACACACAGCTCACTCCCCAGTATGGATGACACCAGTGAGATCTATAGTCCAGTACAAACAGCTCACTCCCCAGTATCCATGTCACCAGTGAGATCTGTAGTTCAGTGCACACAGCTCACTCCCCAGTATGGATGTCATCAGTGAGATCTATAGTCCAGTACACACAGCTCACCCCCAGTATACATGTCACCAGTGAGATCTGTAGTCCAGTACACAGACCGCACTCCCCAGTATGGATGTCATCCAGTGAGATCTATGGTCCAGTACACACAGCTCACTCCCCAGTATCCTACCACCAGTGAGATCTGCACTCCAGTACACACACACAGCTCACTCCCCAGTATCCATGTCATCAGTGAGATCTATAGTCCAGTACACACAGCTCACTCCCCAGTATGGATGACACCAGTAAGATCTATAGTCCAGTACACACACCCTCACTCCCCAGTATGGATGTCATCAGTGAGATCTGTAGTCCAGTACACACAGCTCACTCCCCAGTATGGATGTCATCAGTGAGATCTGTAGTCCAGTACACACACCTCACTCCCCAGTATGGATGAAACCAGTGAGATCTATAGTCCAGTACACACACCTCACTCCCCAGTATCCATGTCACCAGTGAGATCTGTAGTTCAGTGCACACAGCTCAGCCCCCATTATCCATGTCACCAGTGAGATCTATAGTCCAGTACACACACCTCACTGCCCAGTATCCATGTCACCAGTGAGATCTGCACTCCAGTACACACACCTCACTCCCCAGTATGGATGTCATCAGTGAGATCTATAGTCCAGTACACACACCTCACTCCCCAGTATACATGTCACCAGTGAGATCTATAGTCCAGTACACACACCTCACTCCCCAGTATAGATGACACCAGTGAGATCTATAGTCCAGTACACACACCTCACTCCCCAGTATGGATGACACCAGTGAGATCTATAGTCCAGTACACACAGCTCACCCCCCAGTATGGATGACACCGGTGAGATCTATATCCAGTACACACAGGTCACCCCCCAGTATCCATGTCACCAGTGAGATCTATAGTCCAGTACACACACCTCACTCCCCAGTATGGATGACACCAGTGAGATCTATAGTCCAGTACACACACCTCACTCCCCAGTATCCATGTCACCAGTGAGATCTATAGTCCAGTACACACAGGTCACCCCCCAGTATCCATGTCACCAGTGAGATCTATAGTCCAGTACACACACCTCACTCCCCAGTATCCATGTCACCAGTGAGATCTATAGTCCAGTACACACAGGTCACTCCCCAGTATCCATGTCACCAGTGAGATCTATAGTCCAGTACACACAGCAGGTCACCCCCCAGTATCCATGTCACCAGTGAGATCTATAGTCCAGTAAACACACACTCACTCCCCAGTATCCATGTCACCAGTGAGATCTATAGTCCAGTACACACAGGTCACCCCCAGTATCCATGTCACCAGTGAGATCTATAGTCCAGTAAACACACCTCACTCCCCAGTATCCATGTCACCAGTGAGATCTATAGTCCAGTACACACAGGTCACCCCCCCAGTATCCATGTCACCAGTGAGATCTATAGTCCAGTACACACAGGTCACCCCCCAGTATCCATGTCACCAGTGAGATCTGCACTCCAGCACACATACAGAGTGACATTCTCCTGCTCTCTCTCTCTGGCTTAGTGGTTTCAGTTGTTCTAGTAGTTGGAAAGTATAAGTAGTGAGTGCTGCTGAAGTGTTCGTTTTTCGGCAGACTATAGAGGCAGATGTTTCTTGAACACAGCAGTATTTGGCAGCTGGAAGGTAAGTATTTAGTATCCCTTTTAGCAGGAAGACAATCTTTGGCCATTTCCTTTAGCTGCAATGTATGCCCACTGTACATTCAGAGTCACCACCTGCAGTCTCTATACATGAGGGGTGACAACACCCTGCAGAGACCCCTTTGATGCCCCTCACCTAGGAGTGGTCTGCTCCAGCGGCTTGCGTGTGGCTCTGTAGGTTATAAAAGCGGTGACTAGAGAGAAGAGAACCCAGATTCCCAGGAACCGCATCCAGTGCAGCTTCACTGTGAAATAGACGGGAACAATCCACATCTGGAAGAGAGTCACCATCTACAAAGAAAAAAGAACAGGAATGACAGAAAAAAACTACAATACTAAAAATGCTGCTCAACATATTACTGTTATCTTTAAAACGCACATAAAATTGATCACACATAATTCTCACACTGCCCGAGGCTAGGCTCACCTAAAATGGTTTGGAAACCTTACACGCAATTCAGACCTCCAGGTACATGCTACCATTATACACTGGACATGTCTGCAGGTCCTGGGTGTACACATGCATCTCTCTTACAGCGAAGCCATCTCTTGAAACACATGAAAAGTCGGCTCTTGACAACTGTCCTTGCAAAACTGTCACTGGTCTAAGCTCCTGTTCTTATGTCATAGGAAAACAAAGAGGTGTCAGCACATCATAATGTCAAAGTTCTGCCCCAGTTCATTGCAGGAGTCCCCAAACCTAGGTGTGTACAGTGATTTGCATCCTTGTGTGTGTGCAAGTGTGGTGCTGTGCCAAAAATAAATGATACATTATTAACTAGTGACAGGTATATCTGTAATTGGCTCTCTCAGTTGTCAGAGGGGAAGCCAACTTCAAAATTGTAGAGAAAAGGAAAATCTCAGCCCAATGCACTGCAGCACTTCACAAGGGAGGACTTGTCGCTGTTTCCAGAGATAACGTAGTGGTCACACTTACCTCTCGAGATCCAGGGCTAGATCTCCCCTTTGCTGCATGGCCGCTTGCCTTCTAGGTTTCAGGGTCCTAGAGCAATGGCACTGCAACATAGAAGGAGACAAGTCCCAACTGGTCCTGCCTTAAATTACAAAGGGACGTGTGGCTCGGCATTTGATGCTGCTGTATTTACCTGCTCCCCCATGCCTCCCAGTGCACCATTCCCTGTGTGCCCCCATGCCTCCAAGTACCATTTTCTGTGTCCTGAATGCCTCAGCGCCTCCAAACAATACCTGTGTCCCCCAGCATCATCTAGTATGTCCTGTGCACTTCCATTTCTCCGAGTGTCATGAGTGCACCTAGTATCATCTAGAACACCTTGTATGCCCCCATGCCTTCAAGTGTCACTAGTGCACCCAGTGTCATCTGGTATACCCTGTGTGCCCCCATGCCTCCAAGAAATACTAAATGTACCCTAGTGTCATCGTGTGCACCCTGTGTGCCCCCAAGTGATACCAATGTACCCTAGTTTCATCGTGTGCACCCTGTGTGCCCCCAAGTGATACCAATGTACCCTAGTGTCATCGTGTGCACCGTGTGCCCCCAAGTGATACCAATGTACCCTAGTTTCATCGTGTGCACCCTGTGTGCCCCCAAGTGATACCAATGTACCCTAGTTTCATCGTGTGCACCCTGTGTGCCCCAAAGTGATACCAATGTACCCTAGTATCATCGTGTGCACCTTGTGTGCCCCCAAGTGATACCAATGTACCCTAGTGTCGTGTGCACCGTGTGCCCCCAAGTGATACCAATGTACCCTAGTTTCATCGTGTGCACCCTGTGTGCCCCAAAGTGATACCAATGTACCCTAGTGTCATCGTGTGCACCCCCCAAGTGATACCAATGTACCCTAGTGTCATCGTGTGCACCACCCAAGTGATACCATGTGTACCTAGTGTCATCTACTGCACCCTGTGTGCCCCCAAGTGATACCAATGTACCCTAGTGTCATCGTGTGCACCCTGTGTGCCCCCAACTGATACCAGTGTACCCTAGTGTCATCGTGTGCACCGTGTGCCCCCAAGTGATACCAATGTACCCTAGTGTCATCGTGTGCACCCCGTGTGCCCCCAAGTGATACCAATGTACCCTAGTGTCATTGTGTGCACCCTGTGTGCCCCCAGGTGATACCAATGTACCCTAGTGTCATTGTGTGCACCTTGTGTGCCCCCAGGTGATACCAATGTACCCTAGTGTCGTGTGCACCCTGTGTGCCCCCAAGTGATACCAATGTACCCTAGTGTCATCGTGTGCACCGTGTGCCCCCAAGTGATACCAATGTACCCTAGTGTCGTGTGCACCCTGTGTGCCCCCAAGTGATACCAATGTACCCTAGTTTCATCGTGTGCACCCTGTGTGCCCCCAAGTGATACCAATGTACCCTAGTTTCATCGTGTGCACCCTGTGTGCCCCCAAGTGATACCAATGTACCCTAGTTTCATCATGTGCACCCTGTGTGCCCCCATGCCTCCAAGTGATACCAATGTACCCTAGTGTCATCTACTGCACCCTGTGTGCCCCCAAGTGATACCAATGTACCCTAGTGTCATCTACTGCACCCTGTGTGCCCCCAAGTGATACCAATGTACCCTAGTGTCATCTACTGCACCCTGTGTGCCCCCAAGTGATACCAATGTACCCTAGTGTCATCGTGTGCACCCTGTGCCCCCAAGTGATACCAATGTACCCTAGTGTCATTGTGTGCACCCTGTGTGCCCCCAAGTGATACCAATGTACCCTAGTGTCATCTACTGCACCCTGTGTGCCCCAGTTTCTCAAAGTGTGACTAGTGCACCCATAGTCATCCACCACACACCCTGTGTGCCCCCATGACTCCAAGTCATATCAGTGTACCCTAGTGTCATCTAGTGAACCCTGTGTCCCCCAGTGCCTCCAAGTGTCATTAGTGCACCCAGTGTCATCCAGTGCATCCTGTGTGCCTCCAAGTGTTACCAGTGCCATCAAGTTTGTCCTGGGAGCCCCTGCTCCTCTAGGTGCTATCAGTGCACTCAGTGTCATCTAGCGTCCTGTGCACACACATGCCTTCAAGTGTCTTCAATGCACCTAGTGTCATCTAGCGTTTGGTATGCTCCATGTTCCAAGTGTTAACAGGGCACCCCAGTGTCATGCCTGTATGCCCATGGGCCTCCAGGGTTACCAGTGTGCCAGTGTCATCTAGTGCGACCTGTGTATCCCTCGTGCCTTCATGTGTCAGAAATGCATCCAATGTAATCTAGTGCATTCTGTTCACCTCTGTGCTCCCAAATGCATCCCATATCACAGTCCTGCGTGCCCCTGTGCATCCTGCATCATCTGCACTGTCCTGCTCTCAGAGGATACAGAATGCTGTTCATGACACTGGCTAAAAGTAAATGACATATAGAGTAAGGCAGATCAGTGAAAAGTAACTGTTCCTGTCATCTGGGGCAAGTTCCCATCATTCCCAGGAAAATTGGAGCTGCAATAATCATCTTGGTGTAAAAGTTGTTTTAAAAAAACAAACAGAACAAACTTGAAAGAGTTTTGGGGTTCCAGATCGCTTACATTGTAGGAGCGCGGATGTCTCTGTTTCCACTGCACGAGCAACAGCTGGGCCACCACCAGGGTGGCGATGAGAATCAGCACCATTTCGGCATGCATGGCTTCGTGGCCTCGGTGCTTGGCATGCATGCGGGCATGTTCCACCCTGAAGAGCATAGAGAAAAAACATAGTAACAGATTAGACACTCCCTAGATCACAGCAAGTCATCCATCCAACATGAGTTACTGAATATAAACAGCTCCTATTCATTTTCAGAAGACATTTTGCACACATTGGAAGTGAAATACCATAGCCAAGTTCAGTACACTGAGCTCACCCCCAGTATCCATGTCCCCAGTGAGATCTGTAGTCCAGTACACACACCTCACCCCCCAGTATCCATGTCACCAGTGAGATCTACACTCCAGTACACACACCTCACTCCCCAGTATCCATGTCACCAGTGAGATCTGTAGTCCAGTACACACACCTCACTCCCCAGTATCCATGTCACAAGTGAGATCTATAGTCCAGTACACACACCTCACTCCCCAGTATGGATGTCACCAGTGAGATCTGTAGTCCAGTACACACACCTCACTCCCCAGTATGGATGTCACCAGTGAGATCTACACTCCAGTACACACAGCTCGCTCCCCAGTATCCATGTCACCAGTGAGATCTATAGTCCAGTACTCATTGCTCACCCCCAGTATCCATGTCACCAGTGAGATCTATAGTCCAGTACTCATTGCTCACCCCCCAGTATCCATGTCACCAGTGAGATCTGTAGTCCAGTACACACACCTCACTCCCCAGTATCCATGTCACCAGTGAGATCTACACTCCAGTACACACACCTCACTGCCCAGTATGGATGTCACCAGTGAGATCTACACTCCAGTACACACAGCTCACCCCCAGTATGGATGTCACCAGTGAGATCTACACTCCAGTACACACAGCTTGCTCCCCAGTATCCATGTCACCAGTGAGATCTATAGTCCAGTACTCATTGCTCACCCCCAGTATCCATGTCACCAGTGAGATCTATAGTCCAGTACTCATTGCTCACCCCCAGTATCCATGTCACCAGTGAGATCTGTAGTCCAGTACACACACCTCACTGCCCAGTATGGATGTCACCAGTGAGATCTACACTCCAGTACACACACCTCACTCCCCAGTATCCATGTCACAAGTGAGATCTATAGTCCAGTACACACACCTCACTCCCCAGTATGGATGTCACCAGTGAGATCTGTAGTCCAGTACACACACCTCACTCCCCAGTATCCATGTCACAAGTGAGATCTATAGTCCAGTACACACACCTCACTCCCCAGTATCCATGTCACAAGTGAGATCTATAGTCCAGTACACACACCTCACTCCCCAGTATGGATGTCACCAGTGAGATCTATAGTCCAGTACACACACCTCACTCCCCAGTATGGATGTCACCAGTGAGATCTACACTCCAGTACACACAGCTCACCCCCAGTATGGATGTCACCAGTGAGATCTACACTCCAGTACACACAGCTCGCTCCCCAGTATCCATGTCACCAGTGAGATCTATAGTCCAGTACTCATTGCTCACCCCCCAGTATCCATGTCACCAGTGAGATCTATAGTCCAGTACTCATTGCTCACCCCCAGTATCCATGTCACCAGTGAGATCTGCACTCTAATAAACAAAACTCACTCCCCAGTATCCATGTGACCAGGGAGACCCACACTCCAGTACACACACCTCACTCCCCAGTATCCATGTCACCAGTGAGATCTACACTCCAGTACATACAACTCACTCCCCAGTATCCATGTCACCAGTGAGATCAGCACTGAGACACACTTTAGATAATACAGGTGCACAAAGGTGAAGGACAAATCACAGAGGACTCACCTCCATCTTTCCTCAGGGGCCAGGTCAGACAGGTCCACCTGGAAGACAAGAACACAGCCGGCGTTAGTTGGGGTGTATTATGGGGTAATGTGGGGTGAGGAGCCATTGAGCGATCTAGGAGGAGAGACCAGCTGTGACCACAGATCAGGAAGGAGAGTGGGAGCCGGTGAACGCGGGACAACAATCCTGGAAGGACTTTGTGTACACTAATACTCTGTGCTGAGGATTAGCAGCTATAGTGGCCTGGTGAGTGTATGAGGGTCGGGGATGGTCAGAGGCTCCGGGGGACGGTCAGAGGCTCTGGACAGGGGCTCCGGGGGAACACGGCCAGAGGCTCTGGACAGGGGCTCCGGGGGAACACGGCCAGAGGCTCCGGGGGGAGGGTCAGCAGCTCACACCCCCTGCAGCCACACCAGATATCGGTACAAGGGAGGGTCCGAAACTAAGGGGAATACAGAAAAACCCTATAAACCGGACACACATGTATTCTCAACATTCCGTGTTATTTACTAAATTATCTCACAAATGATTTTATCCTTTCCTCTAGGGCCCAGTCACACTATGTGGGTTAAACGCTTTCATTCAACAGCTGCAATAAAGACAACCTGTCAACTCTAAATATTGCAGATAAAAGTAAAGAATACTCAAGTGTTTTAAATGCTTACTTGCGTCATTTCCCCATAAATTATTCACTTAAAAAAAGCAGTTGGTATAGAGAGCAGTAATATCTCTTCTTTCTTTAAAAGGGATTTGTTTTTTATTTTTTTTAGCTACAATGATCCAGAAAACTTGATCACTCCAGGAAGAGTCAAACTCGGAGCAAAGCACCTCCTTCCTTGTGTAACCACTTAAGGACCAGTATATTTCACATGAGACATGTAATAATCAGTTTTTTTTTTTTTTTCCTAGAAAATTACTTAAAAGCCCCCCAGACATATTTATACAAAATGTTTAGGGAAAAAAAAAAAGACGCGTTAATGAATTTTAGTGCACATAAACATAAAATACCCAATTTTTTTGTAAAATATAAAAGATGATGTAAACAGATATGTGTCACGCTTTAAAACTGTACGCCCGTGCAACAGCAACAAACACTGTACATGAAATGATCCACAGACCATGCGCCACTTGCCAACTGGGCCATTTGCGACTCCTTTCCTACATGGAAAATTTTTTTTTTTTAGAAACCCCCCAAATATTTTATTTATTTATATATATATATATATATATATATATATATATATTAAACATTTTTTTTTTTTTTATCAGAGACCCTTTAGAATGAAATGGTGAGTTTTGCTAAAAAAATTTTTATGTCACCCAGTAATTGCACCACAGTTTTTCAAAGGCGGTTTTATGGAAAAAAAAAACCTATTGAATGAATTTTATTGGACACAAGCACAAAATAATACCCAATTTTTTGGCCTAATGTAAAAGACGATGTTACATTGAGTAAATGGATATAAAACTTGACCACTCCAGGAAAAGTCAAACTTGGAGCAAAGCCCCTCCTTCCTTGTGTAACCACTTAAAGACCAGTATATTTCACATGAGACATGTAATAATCAGTTTTTTTTTTCCTAGAAAATTACTTAAACCCCCCCCCCCCCCAGACATATGCCAGAGGAATGGCGCCAAAGTACAATACTTAACAACCTCCATAGGTGACGCTTTAAAATTTTTTTTGCAGGTTACCAGTTTAGAGATACAGAGGTGCTAGAATCATTGCTCCCACTGTGATGTTCGCCACTATATCTCACATGTGTGGTGAGCAGGGTGGATAAAAATCAATGATTTTTTAAAAAAAAAAAAAATTTAAAAAATCAGATTTTTTTCATTTAAATTGGATTTTTTTTAAATTTAAAATCGGATTTTTTTTAAATAAAATGCTTTTTGAGGAAAATATATTACCATCCAAAGGTTATTCCATCATGAAATAAAGATTAGTTTTTTAATTATGTAGAAAAAGGCTGTATATGTTTAATTTTTTTGGTAAATAAATGCCATGAATCCATTCACAATGTCATGCTCTTCCAGAGGTTTTTGTAAGATTATTGGGCAGTTTCTCTGCCTACAAGATATTATCACAGATGCTCGGTTTACTTTTGCAGTTCTCAAAACTGAATTTGACTCAGCGGAGATCACATGCCTCTTCTTCACAGCAAAAATGTTATAACATGAACAGAGTTAAGAAAAAGACCTTCAATCCTAACTTCTACAAACTATGAATACAGAATCAACCCCTTCAGTGCTAAGTGTCAAGAAGTTCAGTGAATAGAAGAGAAACAATATTTTTCTGATTGTTTGGAGTGGAATAGATCTGCACAAGAAGAAAGTGAAACTAAGTGTGAGGAGGAAGGGGCTGACAGTCTAAGTTTCTTAAATATATATATTTTGTTTAGCCAAATTAGTTTAGCCTAATATGAAAAGTTGTTATTCTAAAAATCTTCATCTACTTGTATATTAAAGTTATACCAGCAAGAATTAGTCTTTATGTAGAAAACTAGGATTTACATCAAGCCTTACTGACTAGTTATTTAAATCAAATCCACCCTGCCAGCAAGTGTATTTACATAGTGATCAGCTGTGATTAGACACAGGTGATCACGTGGCAAAGGCCGCTGTGATTGGCCTTTTACCATGTCATGTGATCAGCTATGTCCAAAGAACACAGTGATCACACACAGTGCTGGGTGTGCATGGCTGGGGGCATGTCATATGCACCCTCCCAGAACCAGACAACCGTGCAGGCTATAGCGAGGTAGTAAAGTGGTTAAACAAATTTCTTTTTTGTATTAACTTTATTGCTATCACAAGGGATGAACAACACCCCTTGTGGCAGCATGGGCCGTGACAGGTCCTCTTTATGATACTGGGCAGGAAGGGGTTAACTGGGCAGGAAGGGGTTAACATTAGGGGAGATAGAGTGTGTGTGTAAGGGACCGCCTGGCGGTACCACTAGCGCTCCACTGATTAGGCGCTCCAGGGCACGGAGTCTAAGCCCCAGTGTACTTGTTCACCAGAGCCCCTGATGGTGGGGATGGACTTGGAGTACCCTGAGACCAGGTCGTGGCTCCTGAGTATGCCTGTCAGTGGTAGGGGTATTCGCCAGGGGCTCCCACGGGGAAGAGCCTGATGTGAGGAGGTCGGGAGACCCCAGTGGGATGGATGGATGGATGAGCAGGTGCAAGGTCAGACAAGCCGGGTCGGTAACAGTGGGGTTGGTGCGGTACAAAGCAGCGGGCAGAGAATAGTCGGGTCACACGCCAGGTCAGCAACAGGAGGTCAGATCTAGTAAGGGGCATCCAGGAGAGAGGTCAGGCAAGCCAGGGGTCAGAGTGGGAGAATACAGCAAGGTCAGGTCCAATCCGGGTCAGCAACTTACAGGAAACAGGATCACAGGTACAGGTATGCAGAAGAGACCAGAAGGCACTGAATGACAGTTCAGGGCCGTTTAAATATCGCGCCCTGCACTGTCATTGGTCCGGCGCGCGACCGCGGTTTCCTACTGCGCATGCGCAAGCCTGAATGCCGCGGTCGGCCAGGAACTGGTGCCCGCGTCCCTGCAGAGAGCGGCGCACTGCGCCTGCGCCGGGACCAGCGCCGCGGGGATCCCTGACAGTGTGCGGACAGCCATCCAAAGCAGTGTGCTTACAGTGAAGCACACGGACAGCACATAGTGAAACAGCCTTAACTCTTTGATCGCCCCTCATGTTAACCCTTTCCTGCCCAGTATCATTAGTACAATGTCAGAGCTTTTTTTTTTTTTTTTTAGCACTGATCAGACTATTGGTGTCACTGGGGATGTCAGAGACACCAAGTCAGTTCCCCCCCGTGTGTCAGAATGTCTGCTGCAGTCCCTCTATAAGTCGCTGATCACTACTATTACTAGTAAAAATAATTAAAAAAAAAAAAAAAACAATCCCAGTACCTATACCACCATTTGTAAACGCTATAACTTTCACATAAATCAATGAATTTACACGTATTTGGATTTTTTTTTTAGCAAAGACACGGAGCAGAATACATTTTGGCTTAAATTTATGATGAAATTTGATTTTCAATTTTTTTTTACTGGATGTGTTTAATAGCAAAAAGTGAAAAAATATAGTTTTTCTCAAAATTGGCATTTTTTTTTTTATAGCGCAAAAAATAAAAAATGCACAGGCGATCAAATACCCCCTAAACAAAGCTCAACTTGTGGGAAAAAAGGAGGTAAATTTCATTTGGGTGTAGCGTTGCATGACCGTGCAATTGTCAGTTAAAGTAAAGCAGCGCTGTATCACAATAAATGGACTGGTAAGGAAAGGGGGGGGGGAAATCCTCTGGAGGGCAAGTGGTTAAAGGGAATCACCGGCTACAAATTGTAATATCAGGTTCATTCCTGTAGCTGCAGTCCTCATCCTGGTATAATCGCTGACATCCAAGGACGGCAAATGACAGGCTATCAGATTGGAGGTCACAACTCTTTTTTGATAATTTTAAGATTTTTACATTTTTTTTGGTTAAAGCCAAACTTCTGTAATTGGACAAAACCTACCTTTACAGTGTGATTCTCCATATATTGCAAAGGTTAAAGTGTTCCTAAACCCCGGACCCCGCGTTCGCTATATCTGCTCTCCCCGGACCCCGCATTCACTATATCCGGTCCCCGGACCCCGCATTCACTATATCTGGTCTCCCCGGACCCTGCATTCACTATATCCGCTCTCCCCAGACCCTGCATTCACTATATCTGGTCTCCCTGAACCCTGCATTCACTATATATCCGGTCTCCCTGAACCCTGCATTCACTATATCCGCTCTCCCTGAACCCTGCATTCACTATATCTGGTCTCCTCTGACCCCCGCATTCACTATATTCGGTCTCCCCGGACCCCGCATTCACTATATCCGGTCTCCCATTCACTATATCAGGACCCCGCATTCACTATATCTGGTCTCCCCCGGACCCGCATTCACTATATCCGCTCTCCCCGGACCCTGCATTCACTATATCTGGTCTCCCCTGACCCCCGCATTCACTATATCTGGTCTC